TAAGTTAAGTTTAGTTTAGTTAGGTTCGTATGGTCGTTGTAGTGTTACGTAAGAAATAATACTATACGTCCGCCGTCGTCCGGTCGAGAAGAATACTCTCTCTCTCTCTCTCTCTCTCTCTCTCTCTCTCTCTCTCTCTTTCTCTCTCTCTCTCTCTCACACAAGTCTGCTGATTCATGGCGTCTAATTTATGTTTCTCCTAAGAAATAAAGTTTGTGAATGAAAATTCATTTATTTCAATATAAAACGTTCCTGCTATGCTCAAATTTTTTTACACAAATTAGCCATCTCTGGATCATGTAACTCGGATTTTATGGTATTTTGTGGTAGTTAATAAATCCATCGGATGCAGTTCCAGTAATTTATCCCTTTATGTTTGTATTTCAATATAGTATGTAGTCCATAGTCAATGGAATTATGATGGACTGTTTTGACTTCTGTAATATAAGGTTTGACTGAACTTTTTAGCGAACTATTTATCTGTGTTGTTGATTTTGTGTTTTGAATTATTATATAGCATGTAAAATGTTCAAAAAAGTGCAGGTGGGTGCCTAGGGGTTTTGGGGGCCTAGGTGCCTAGGCGGCCGGGCACCCCGGAACAGGGATGGGTAGGGATTATTCACATAATAATTAAGATGAAAGTTAATGTAATTATTATTTATTAATTAATATCTATAAGATTTGGTTTTGGATATCAAATATTCGCATAATATCAATTTCTTCCAAAGTTTATAACTAATCACAAAATAATAAGTCCAAATTGATAAATGTTCCATCTACAAATATGTAAAAATATAAAAAGGTAAAACGAATCTAATAGGATATCAAAACATTACACATTGTACAAAATAAGAACCAATTATTTATAAAGAATTTGATATAGGACGAATTTCATCGTCCAAACGAGTTAATAATCAACTAATCACAACAAATCAATCTTTCCACTACAAACACATAAATTTATCATAAAAGGGAAAAAAGGCAAAAAAAAATCAAATGATTCAAAACATAATACGTTATAGCAAAAAAAAGTCAAAACCCTTATTTGAATATCATAATGGAATAATGCTCTAAAAATATCAAAATGAAAACGATGTCGGCCCAAACCTCGTCTATTCTATCGCCAAAGGTCCTCACTATCGGCCACTAAAAGCTCCGAAAACTACCACGAAGCATTGCCTTTCATTTCGGAAGAAATTGAAAAAATCGAAAATTTATCGGTCTTTCAATAAATCACAAAATAGAGGTTTTTTGGGAGTTTTTCTCTCTCTAGATGGCACGGATTTGGTTTTGGGGGTTTAGAATGTCCCCCAAAACCCGGAAAATTACTATTTTGACTGTAGCCGAGGGCATTTTTTGCCCCTTGGCAACCTGCATCGAGGTGGCGTGTAGGCGGCCGCCTTGAGTGTAGTGCTTAACCAGCGCCTTGCCCGCCTAGGCGATCGCCTAGACTCAAGCTGCCTAGGTGCCCCACCTAGGTTCCACCTAGGCGTTTTAGGTGTTTGGCCACCTATATACGTATGTATGTATATTAAAATTGAAATTAAAGTGAATTTTATGATGTTCTTACTGTGTGATTTCAAGTGAGGTGCTATTGTTTGATCATGTCATTTTCTTGATCATGATATTATAGGTTAGGACTGAATCTTGTAGAATCTTGTTTTATTCTTTTTTTTATCTCTCTTTTGTGCTTTCAAGCATATATGTGGAATCTAGAATAATGTTTTGCGTTAATCACCATTGCTTTTTCTCTCCTAAAATCTTTATGCATAGACTTGCCTTAACTCAAAATCACCTTCATGCTTTGCTCCTCTTTTTACAGCCTTTATTGATTTCAACTTGAATGTTTGATATTATCTTAGTTGATGCCATCGACAGTTTTGTGCATTGTGCTTTTAAAATGTTGCTTTAACATTCTTCTTCCTTTCTTTTTATACTTTGTTTTTCTTGAGGTGTTTGCAATATTTTTTGGTTTTCTCTGTTGATATGCATGACACAAAATGGATTCATGGGCGGGTGTATTGCAGGAGCTTGTACAAGAATTAGGGGTTTATTTTGTGGCTTATGATAGAGCCGGGTATGGACAGAGCGATCCCAACCCTAATCGTTTTCTCAAATCTGAGGCTAATGACATTCAAGAACTTGCTGACCAGTTGGAACTTGGCTCGCAGTTCTATGTACTTGGCACATCAATGGGTAGCCACTCTGTTTGGGCTTGCCTCAAGTATATACCTCAAAGGTAAACGCCTTTTCTGATATTATTTGTGTCTATGTGCCTTTTCTTTATCTCCTCTTTTTGCAGCCTTATATATCTAAATTTTGTTCATTTTCTTCATTGGAGACCAATCTCACGGTGAAATTTTTGAAGCATTTGCAGGATAGCAGGTGCTGCTTTAGTTGTTCCAGTTATCAACTACTGGTGGCCTAGTCTCCCTTCAAATCTATCAAATGAAGCTTATTATCAGCAACTCGTTCGGGATCAATGGATGGGTAGAATTGCACATCATGCTCCCCGCCTACTTTACCTTTGGTTGACTCAAAAGTGGTTCCCCTCATCGTCTGTGATGGAGAAAAATCCTATAATTTTCAGCGAGAAAGACAAGGAGTTATTATCCAAGTTCATAGAACTCAAGAGGAAATTTCCGGTATCAGCTCTCTTCAATTCGCCTTTATTTTCAGATTGATTGGCAATTGTTTTTTCATCAGTGAATGGGGAAAAGAAACTATAGCTGCAGCAAATGAGTGCCCTATGTTTCATGTGCTGGATGCCTGACTAAAATTTATTATTTTTCTTGGGTGATAAACTAAGAAAAATCTTTTATCCTTTTCTATATTTTAGCAAACTTCGAACTCAGTTCAGGACTTTGCTTAATCGAAATTTAACTTGGTACATGAACTAAGCATGATTTGGCCAATTCTTACACTCTTAAGAAAATATGCTATTATACAAGAGAATGGAACCATATAATCTCGCCACATGAGCTCTAAGTCATGCCTTGCCGTCCCTTGCAACTGCATGTCCTCCGCCATCCTCACCATCTCCCATCCTCCCTCCACCCCCTTCATTCCAGTCATCCCCAAGGAAAGAATCCTATCTTGTCGTTCCCTTCTCTCTATGATTCTTATTCCCATCTCATCCATACCAAGAAAACCTCCTTTCGCCCCTCACCCCTTGTCTCCTGTGCTTCTCATCCCAATCCCTAGCTACCTCCTTCTTCTGGGTATCATCATTCTTTCCGCCTGCCCCCCCATCCACCCCCCCACTCCAGACTCATAACAACTTTACCCATATCCTCCAAGCTAAATAACCTGCAACTTCATCTGTCCCTGTGATCCCCCAGCCTTAGGTTCATCCTCCAAATCCCTCTCCCCCTCTCTCTGCTCCCTTCTCCATTCCTGTGGGAGGAAGTCAAGCCACTTTCTTGGAGCAGGCATTGAGATTTTTGCTTATTGGTAGGTTCCAGCCTCCCTATAATGATGCCAAATTTATGCAAAGATGGGCAGCTGAAACTTGGGATTTTTCTGCTATCTCCTACTGGAAACTTTCATCTGGGGACTTCCTTTTCTCCTTCCCCTCAGATGAAAAGATGCTCGAAGTCCTTAGGAGCCAGAATGCATCTTTTCATGGTGCAACCCTTTCCCTCACTCGCTGGAACAAGTCGATGGGGGCAGCAATTCTGCAAAAGTTACGCTTGCTAGCCTCTTACCTTCCTCTCCATGCATGGACTATTGATCCATTCCAGCGAATTGGGGATGCCTGCGGAAAGTTTATCTCTGTGGATTGGAAGTCTACTAGTGTTCTCCCTCTTGGCTCCATTTAGCTTCTGGTGGAATCTCTTATTCCAGGCTAGATTCCCCAGACCCTCTGGTTGGAGATTGATGGGTTGTTTACAGCATCCCAATCTCATGGTCCTGTGCCTCGCCTCCCTTGCACCGCCATGTTTGAGACCATATGCCCTCTGCATATGGAGCACAGTCCAAAGTGATCAGGATGCCCTCCTCCCTTGATCATGAATGGACTATAGTGACCAGGAAGCCAACCCCCCCCCCCCCCCCTAGTGAGCACCGTCCTTCTCATCATCGGAGGGCTCTTAGAGACCCTTCCCAAGAGTCTTTCTTCCTGCAAAGAAATGTGGTCCCGCCGGCTCATCCCTTGTGTCTAGCTGAGAAGGAGCTAGGGAGCGTAATTAGACTGTCCATCCCTCAGGGGGGATCGTCGCCGTCAACGCAGCCTACCTTATCTGGCGTTGTTCCTGGAGGCCCGACACGTATCCCACTCGTACCTAGTTCTCCTCGTTCCTTGCATCTTCTCTCGGCCCTTCTTGCATCGACCCTTGTGTCCCCCTCTTGCCAGGTGTCGACCCATTGCTCTGCCTTCCCTTTACCCTATCCCTCGCTTTCTCCATCGAGTTCGCCGCCTGTCTCGTAGAATTTTCATTATTCCCTACCGACCCCTGCACCCTCCCATCGTTCTCCTGCTCACCTTTCGCCAAGTGGTGAGCATCTTATGCTTCATCAGTGCTCTCACCTAGTCATCGATGGTGCGACTCCCATTTTTGGTTCCCACTGCTCCTGTCCCACAGTCGTTCGGTTTCTAAACTCCACCCTTTGCAACGGCTCTCCATCCTCAACCCCTCCTCTAGCCACCATAATGTTCTCCGGCCTGGCAAAACTGGTTTCTAAACCTCCTCTGAAGCCTAAAAAGTCGAAATCTCTAGTTGCTTGCCCGGGGAGTAAACGCTCGAATCTCAACAACGCAGTTACGTCGTCCCTCTCGACCTCATTTGTTCCTATGCCTAATCTCCCCTCTTCGATAATCCCTCTGTAGAATCTTTTTGTGCCTTCTTCCAACCTGCCTCCCTCATCTCTGCTACCTGTAGCCTCTTGGCCCCAATCTTCGCCCTCCCACTATTCTCTCCCTCTTTTAGCGGCTTCTGAAATTCTGAATTCAATCTCTCCTCCCAACCCCAATCTCCCGTCCCAATTTCTCTCACACATTTCTCTCCCCTCTACCCCCTTTCGCCCTCTCCCCATCCTTTTTCTAGAGCCCCTTTACCCCTAGCCGTCCTTTCCCCATCTTCCAAGAGCAGATCGTCTATTGTTTCTAGGTGCAACGTTTGACCCTCTACTCTGTCTATCTCATCCATCCCCGCTTCTTCTTCTGGATCAGCAACCCCTGGCAGTGCTCTTTCGGATTCAGTGGCCTCCGTTGACTCCTCTTTTGTCGATGGTTTGTACCGTGCCCAAGGCAATCCCCATGAAGTTTCAAAGGTGAGGGGATTCAAATTTAACGGCCCCAGGAAGGTGCCTGAAGACATCATCGACGCAGACACTAAGTCTCTCAGCAAGAAGAAAGGAAACAAGGGAGCTGTCCAATCTCCTCTCTTTTGGAATCAACGACCACTCTGGTAAGTTTTCAGTTCCATCCCTCTCGTCGACAATAGATTTGGTTTCCTCGGCGAGACATGCAACCACACACTGCTCAAGGCATACCGACCTGCCCCTAGGTCCCCAATGAAGATAATTATGTGGAACATCAGTGGCTTGGGCCACGCTCAGAAATGAAGGTCTATGCGAGATCTTTGTGCTAAATTCTCACCCTCCCTCTTAGCCCTTATAGAGACCAAACTCGCTACTACTAACCTCCGTACTATAGGAACAGTTGGGGGTTTAGACCTTGTAGATGGATAGCTTTAGGAGGTAATGGTGCTTCAAGGGGCATCTGACTTCTATAGGACCCCATCCTCAACAATTTGAGAGATTCATCCATAGGCCTTTTTTCGACAACTATTTTCTTCTCAAGACTTTTCGATGGGATGCAATGGAAGTGTACTGTGGTCTAGGGTCCCAATTCTGAAGGACTGAGACTGGCTTTCTAGGCAGAATTGAATTCCCTTGTGTCAAGAGCCCGTGCCACTTGGTGCCTGGGGGCGGGGGAGGGATTTTAATATAACCAGGTGGTCTCATGATCGCAACTCAAACCAAACTCTCTCTCCAACTATGGTGCAATTCTCTGATTTTGTATTCCAGTGTCGATCAATATCCCTTTGGAGGGTGCCCAGTTCACCTGGTCCAACCACTCCCTTAACCCAATCCTCTTTAAACTTAATAGGTTTTTCATTTCTTTAGAATGGGACCTCACCTTCTCGAAAACCTAGTCCTCTGTGTTATACCCAAACCTACCTCTGATCACCATCCTATCATCCTTGATACTGAAGCTGTGGACCAGGGGCCTATGCCTTTTAGGTTCGAGTCTTGATGGGTAGAGGAACCAAATTTCAATCAATTGGTGACAAATTCCTGGAATTCCTTCCAACCTAGGGTTCACGGGTGGCAGGGTTCTGGATCAAGAGAAAGCTTCAGTTGCTGAAAGTAGTTCTAAAATCTTGGAAGTCCCAACATCTAAGAGATTTTCGCGAGCAAAAATCATCGCTGCTCCAGGTATTAAATGATTTGGACGTGGTGGAGGAGTCAAGGCCTCTGCTATTGTCTGAATTTGAGTCTCGAGCCAAAACTAAGTTCGACTACCGGTCCACCTTTCGTAAAGAAGAGATGTATTGGTCCTAGAGAGCCAACGTTAGATGGCTGAAGTTGGGTGATCAAAATACTGGCTATTTCCACAAGATGGCGAACTGTAAAAGATGGGAGAATTCGATCACCCATCTCAAAATTGGGGATTCGGTCATTGATCATCCCACCCTTATCGAGCAAGCTGCTATTGCCTTTTTCTCGAACCTCTTCACCTCTTCTTCTAGTCCTAGACCTATTCAAGGTTTCAAAAAACGCTATGCGGCCCCAAGGAGGCCTGCCTAGCCCCTAGTGCCCAGCTCCTAGGCGGGTGCCCAGACCCTCGAGCGCCCCGTAGTTTTTTTCACTTTGGGGGTTTTCATATATTCAGGGTTTTTTTTATTTTCACTCTGGGGTTAAAAATATACCCCATAACGTTTTTATACAACCTTGGGGGTCAAAATGACCCCCTTTGCCCTTTTGGGCGATTTTAAAAAACGGAAAAGGCCTTACGGCCCTGGGCGCCCACCCTGGTACATCCGCCCGTGTAGGGCCACCTGGGTCTAGGTGTGCGGATTTTTGGTCCAGGCCGCCTAGGCGCCAGGCGGACCGTTTTTTAAAACATTGGACCTATTATGCACGACCTAGCCTTTCTCACCTTGATGCCGGAGGAAGAGAGTTGGCTAGAAAGGCCTTTTCCGAAGAGGAAATCATCCAGGCTTCTGAAGACTTAAGTGGTGACCGAGGCCCGGGCCCCGATGGGTATCCTATGGCCTTCTTCAAAACATTTTGGGGGGTCATTCGTTTAGATATCATTGACTTCTTTGCTGAAGTCCATGCTCATGGGCTAATATGCAAAGCTACAAATGCCACCTTCATAGCTCTAATTCCAAAAACCGAAGGGACAAATGAAGGACTTTCGGCCTATAAGTTTGGTCAACAGCTCTTTCAAACTTTTATCCAAAGTTCTGGCTTCTAGTTTAGAAGTTGTCTTACCCTCAGTCAGTTCCCCAACCCAAGGAGCCTTTGTGAAGGATCGTCAGATCTTGGATGGGGCTCTCATTGCCAATGAAAGCATTCATTCGCGGTCCTTAACTAAAATGTCGGGGTTCTTATGACCATGTGAATTGGTTAATCCTTGATGAAACTCTTTGACGGATGACATTCGAGTGTAAGTGGAGGAGCTGGATCTGTGGTTGGATCCAACCCTGTTTTTTCAATCATCATAAATGGCTCGCCTATGGTTTTCTTCCCTGCTAGTGGAGGCCTTCGTCAAGGTGACCTGCTGTTACCATTCCTGTTTGCTATAGTGGCTGAGGTCTTTAGTAGCTCAATATCAATACTTTAGCAAGCTGGCCTCTAGAGTGGGTTTCGCTCTAGCAACCATGGTCCTTTAGTATCCCATTTGCAGTATGCGGATGACACCCTCATTTTCCATGACTCCTCTGTATCCCCTGTGGATACTCTTTGGGTATTCCTTAAGTGCTTCGAGATGTTTATTAGGTTCAAGGTCAACCTGGGCAAAATCTAAAATGACTGACCCATCGATGGTCCTGTTTCTCTCCAACAGATGGGGTTGTTCTGTAGAGCAATCACCGCCCCCTTACCTTGAATTTCCACTTTGCCTTGGCTTGCCTCGACTAAATCAATGGAATCATATTCTCGATAAGTTTGATAGGAGGTTTGTGGGTTGGAAAGCGAGATTCTTATCCAAGGTGGGAAAACTCGCTCCTATCAAAGCAACTCTTGCTAATACTCCGGTGTTCCAGATTTCTCTTTCTCACATCCTGGCCTTGGTGGCTAATAGATTGGAGCACTCTATGAGGAATTTTTTCTGGTTGGGAGAGCATGGACATAAGTTTCATCTCATCTCATCAGATAAACTGTGTCTTCCAAAATCCCAAAGGGGGTTTGGGTATTTGGAGCCTCAGAAATCACAATAGGGGGCCCTCTTGGACAAATGGTGGTGGAGGTTCGCAACCCAACCCGGCCACCTCTGGACAGAGGTCATAAGACACAAATACTGTTTGTGGATTAGCCATTGGACCCCAGAATGCAAAACCAGTGGCCAGTCCTCGGTGGCCAAAAATTTCAGTTTGACAGGAGCCCTCAGAACTTGGAAGCCTCTCTTTAGGAGATCTATCTTCGACCATGAGCTAGCAGATCTTAGCTCTTTGGCTGAGAGAATCCACTCGGTCTTCCTACCTCTCTTTGGGGAGAACAGGATTATTTGACCCCCTCAGCCTCGGGTTCATTCTTGGTAGCATCCTTCTGTAGCACCCTGAATGCTCTCTCCATGCCTTCGGGTCCCATTCCTGTTATAGCAACCAAGGCATGGAACCCTTTTACTCCACCTAGAATTCAGGTGTTCTGCTGGATTGTGTTGCATGAAAGATTATTGACCATGGATCAGCTCCATAGAAGAGGCGTGTAACTCCCAAATAGGTGCAACCTGTCTATGCTGGATGAGGAGTCAAATGCTCATCTTCTACTCCACTGCGACTTCTCTCGAGCAGTGTGGAGGTCCACTCTGAGTTTGTTCGACTGGTTATGGGTAATGCCGTCTAACATTCCTCATTTGTTTCAAGCCTTTCTCTCTACACCATGGCCCAAGGCAAGCAGACTTCTTTGGAAAGCTGCGCTCTTAGCCACCATTTGGGTATTGTGGTGTGAAAGAAACCATAGGATCTTCAGGGGGCGTGAGATCATCGGTTGACCAGTTGGCAGAAAAAGTAAGAAACCTGGTGGCTTTCTGGGCCTCCAATCACTCTCTTTTCAAGTTTTCTTCTTTCACAGATTTTCACAGCAATTGGTCCAACTTATTGCTCCTTGCCAACGATAGAACCTCGAGAGCCTCTTTGTGGAGACCACCAGAATTGGGAGCTGTGAAGCTAAAATTTGATGGTTGCTCTCTTGGCAAACCCTGGATCCTCTGGAATTAAGGGGGCTTTATGGTTCTAGTGACGGTAGTACCCTGCTGTCATACTCGTGGCCTATTGGAATTGCAGACTCCACTCTTGCGGAGGCCCTTGCCCTTTTGGAGGGCCTGGCCTTTGCCCTTGTCATCATGGCCTTGGCATCTTGACAACATTTTTGAGGAGCTTCTTCATTTAGCAAGCAACTACAGGATTTCCTGACACCATGCCTACAGAGAAGCCAATTCAAAAGCCGATTGTTTGGCAAAAGAAGGGGCCTCATTGTACTCTCGGACAGTTAGGCTTCTGTGCCAACTGTCTGTCTTATGCCTCCCCCTCTAGCGGCTGGTTCTTGCCTTGTATTTTTGGGACCCTTCCAGGCTTGTATTGTGTGACCACTTTGGTCACCACCCTTTTGTATATTTTACCACTAAGTAATGCAATTATAGTGAATTTCTTTCAAAAAAAAGAAAATAGGCTATTGATTGATCCCAGTGGCTCTTAGATTATTTGTTTGATTAGTGAGCATGGAATTTCTTAAAGAATATGTGTGAGGTTATTGTAATAAATCACTTTTTGGTAGGAGTAATGCGCTCCAATGATAAGTTGAGAATAGCTATGGTAAAAACTAGTTCAAGACCTCAAGGATGATTCTTCTAGTCTTTTTTAAAGAATAAACAGAAGCCCAAGCTGTCATATTGTCATTTGTACAATTCTTTGTGCAACATTTCCTACTCCAAAAGAAAGGCAGCTGGTTCATGGGTGGGTATGCCAATAACCCCATACTTGAGATCGAAATAATTGATAATTATCTACTAAAATATCCATTTGGGTCAAGAATGTCAAAAGTCTACAAATCTTGGCAGTGAAGATATGGAGAATTACTGTTCATGAAGATAGTTACTATCCTTATTCCTATGGCAAAGAATACTCCCTTCCAATAAAGTCTCATATCTGAAGCTTAATTTTGATCAGAGTTTCATTTGGAAACATGGGCCTTTGACTGTGGTAGGGGACTCCATTCACAAGAGTTGTTTGGTGAATATGGCTTTCCCTAATTCTTGGAGACCTGTAGATGTGAGGGAGATACATGAGAATCCTTGCTTACCAGATATCTCGTTCCTATATGTTCTTACTGAAGCCAATGGAGATGCAACCTTCCTAGCTCAAGGTTTCAATGTAAGGATTGATGTTCTATAGTAATTCCCGTGTGGCTTGACTTATTCATCTGTACTTCTGCTATTTCTTGAACAATCAATAAAAATTAAAACTAACATATATATGTAAACATATGAAGGATGACATCGTCTCCTCTGTCATATAAATGTCATGGACATCATTGTTTTGAACTTCCTCTTTTACGATGAGTATTTCCCATGTGCTCCAACACATGAACCATCACATTGTCTTCTATGCTTTTCCTATATTGATAAATCATAGTCATCTTTAATTAAATCACTGGAGTTGTTTCCTCTCTATTCCTTCTTCATTCCGATGTTTGGGTCAAGTCTTTACGTGCATTAACTATTTTTCATGTTTGGTAATTGGGATTATGTTTCTCTTGTATTACCATTTTGTTGGGTCTGTTTCTTTATACTTTGTTAATGACTTGTCACTTTCGAATTCCTTAGCCTTTGGCTGAAATTTTTCCTAATGCGTCATTAATATTTGTTTTAGTCATGAATTTTACAATTTTAGGTGTGTTATCTATTGCACACCCTTTTTGAAATTGATAAATCTTTGCATACTGCATGTTGTATTGTTTCCCTAGACTGTCTTATTTGCATCTTTGTATTGTCTTTGCTTCAACTCACTGGACTAAAATTGTTCCACTACCTCTCCCTTATTTCTATATATGTCATCCCTACAATTTCCACACCACTACAATTGCCACATTCATTTGTTCAACTTGCCCAATCTTTATTTTCCAATACATGATCTTCAATGAGATTAGCTCTTCTTACCCTCTAGCACACTAGCTCCCTGCATATCCTTGGGATATAATCGCCCCTTCAAGGACCACCAGTGCTGGTTATCTTACTCTTATTGTCTTAATTCCTGACATAATCTTCGATGAGAAAAGTCTTGAGTTCTCCTTTTTCTTTATTGAAATCTTCTGCCATGTTGGAAGCGCTTTCATCATTTGTCGGCGGTTTTCTCGATTAAATCTGCCACGTCATCCATCTTCCAAACCATATGGAGGAGAGTATAGCCATTTTTTACTTTTAGATATATGACTACCAATGGTGTGATACTTAATGAAAGGATCTCATTGGCACCATCTGAGCATGTGTTGTTTAGTTAGATTTATTGTTCTATTAATGAAGAGAAATATTTCTTAGGGAAACTGAGATTTGGAGACCCAAATTAGAAGATTGAAAATCAAATATGGTGAATGTTTATTATTGCGAAGTATAGCTCATATATTGCAAACATGGTCGAGAGTATTTATTAGATCAGCATATAGTTGGATCTCTTCTAGTCATATACTTATAGGTTCCAGCTAAATCACTAACTCCCTAGCTAATTAGGAGGTAACCATATGAAACACCTTCTCTTGCTCTCAGATTTGTCTATGTGCTTTGTATTGTGTTGTATCATCCATTGCATAAATGTAGCTTAACAACACTCACACAGGCATGCACATACAGAGATAGATATATGTTTTTTGAACCTACACAGATATGTTCTATACATTTTATTACGGTTACTTTCAGGTGCTAGTGTATATCATTATTTTTAATAACTGCATTGCTTCTGTTAATTTTGTTGGCCTTTTAATGGTGTATCGGCAGTGGTGCTCAATTTTTAATGCCTAACATTTCTCTTGCCTTTTCTCTTTCTTATTCTTTCTGTTTGTCTTTGGGGGCAAACTGTCAGGAGGAAAAACCGAGTCAAAATGATTTCGAGTCTCTGCACCGTGACGTAATGGTGGGTTTTGGGAAGTGGGAATTTGATCCTTTGGAGATCAAAGAGAACCCACTTTCTAAAGGCACCGTTCATATATGGCAAGGTGAAGAAGATAGGCTTGTGCCTTACAAGTTACAGCGCTACATCGCTGAAAAGCTTCCTTGGATTCGATATCATGAGATAGCCGAAGCTGGACACCTGCTGTTATTTACACAAGGCATGAGCGATGCTATGCTCAAGGCGCTTCTTCTTGCAGAGGAGCTGTCAAATTTATCTAGCTAGTCCTCTCTCTCTCTCTCATATGAGTGTTTTGGCTGTTATTCTTGTTCGTGGCCAATCTTCTCAGACACCTGATATGAGTGCTGCTCCAATTTTGGACAGCGATTGTGTTTTCATTCTAATGTTGTCTTTAACTTATTTTCCCCATATTTATGTCGAAGGATTCTTAATGTTATGAATGCATTATCAGCTCGTTCAAGCTCTCTGCTCAAGTAAAACATGACTAGTGAAAAGTCATAGGTAGCAAGTTGGGGAATGATAATATATCGGCAAATCATAACCTTACTCAAATTAGTTTTATTCCAAAAAGTTGGAGGCTAAAAATTGAGTTAGAAATACAAAAAAATAAGGTAAGATAAAAAATTATGAATATTTCAGATTTGGTTAAACAAACAGAGTGAAAAAATCGGATATATAAATATCATATGATATATGATATAGAATTATGATTTGCAGTTATTATATAAATAGTTTAAAGCTTTTGAACAATAATTTTATGTCTTTACCTAGTATCACTAAAGTAGTACGTGACAAATTTTGTCAAAACTATCAATAAATCTAGTAACAATGCCTACTTTTTTTTGTCAAGACAAAACATCTAATGGGAGCATATGGTAAAGCAATGACGACAATACTAAACAGAAGAACTACACTAGTAAACAACGAGACCTATAACCCAAGGTATATGATTGCAGTTAACTAAAACAAAACACAAATACCCAATTATATAGACCTATAACCCAAGGTATATGATTGCAGTTAACTAAAACAAAACATAAATACTCAATTATATAAAGTAGTGGACCATCCAAAATGTTATGTTGTACGCAAAAAAAATAAAAGATAAAAAAATGAAATTAATTGAACTTCTCTATGAACAAAAAAAAGTAACAAAATGCTTAAGCAAATCCAAAAATTCAAATCTCACATTAACTCCTACCTGCTTAAATATTTACTGTTACTTAATTTCTCTGTTGCTCTTTATAATAATGCAAGAAAAATATTTTTCATTGGGCTATTCTTTTTCTAACTCTACCTATTATTTTAAGATATACGATTGTTTTGATATCTTACTTTTTTGGGGAATAAATTTCCTATAATTTTTTGTATTTTTTTTCTAAAGGAATTTATTGGTGAAACTTTTGATGGAGTTTTTTGTTAAATCAAGATTCTTAATTTACTTGCACTTTTAACGTACTTATCTCTAAATCAAAATTCAATAATATTAAGCAAATGAAGAAATAAAATTATAGCGAAGAAGTTCGTTTGAAAATGTTTTCTGAAAAAAAAAAAAATATAAATTTATATCGGTTCTATTAAAAATAATAATTTTTTAATATCTTTTGAAAAACTTGGAGTTCTTAACAGCATTCCAAAACTCAGTTTTTTTTTTTTTTTTTTTAAAATCATGTTTTAAATGGAGACTTGCTACCTATGGTGAAAACACGCTAACAATGAATAAATTCTTAGCGTCTCTCTCTGTCTAAAGAGCCAACATTTTAAAAATTGATAAACTAGACTGAAACCAACCGGTTGAGATCGAGAATCATTAGTGCCAGTTCTGTTGAACCAGCAAGTTCCCTCCGAAAACCAGCTAGCTCTGTCAGAGAATCACCTAACTAAATATCCTAAATATCAAGAACTAGCCAGTTCCCTTAAAAAACCAACCAGTTCTGTTTGAGAATCGCCTAACTAAATATGAGAATCACCTAACTAAAATAATTAAATATGAAAATCAAACCAACCAATTCTGTCTGAGAATCACCCAACTAAATATGAGAATCGCCTAACTAAATATAACTAAATCTGAGAATCACCTAACTAAATATCAGAAACCAACCAATTCCCTCCCAACTAAATTTAACTAAATATGATAATCGCTTAAGTAAATATCAGGAACCAGCCAGTTCCCTCCGAAAACCAACCAGTTCTGTATGGGCTCATTTGGGTCATTGGATTCAGATTTCCAAGCGTCCCTTTTCCTAGAAAGTTGGCCCAATCATGTTTGGTTCGCTTAGAATTGACTTTTCCGTTGGAATTGAGTTTTATGTGGGATTCTTGAATACTCATTTTAAACCTAGGTTTTGGAAATCTCAATTCCACCAAAATAGGTTGAATTGACATTTCATAGAAATTATCCATCTTGTTGTTGAAGAACATCAAAAATTGTAAAATTTTAGAGAAAAACTGTATCAAATTTTAAAGAGAGAAAACATTAAAATTTTAGAGAGGGAAACTATATCAAATTTTAAAGAGAGGAAGTATACAAATTTTTTTAGAGAGAAAATATACAAAAAAATTTAGTGAGAGAAACTATCTCAAATTTTTAGAGAGAGAAACTATCTCAAATTTATGGTTTTAGAGAGACCGTATTAAAATTTCAGAGAGAAACTATCTCAAGTCTTAAAGTTTAGAGCGATAAAGTATCTTAAAATTTTAGAGAGACAAACTACATTAAATTTTACAGAGTGGAACTACTTAAAAAATTTAGAGAGAAATATCTCAAAACATTTAGAGAGAGAAATGATCTCAAATTTAAGTTTTAGAGAGAGCATATTAAAATTTTAGAGAGTGCATATTAAAATTTTAGAGAGAGAAAATATCTTAAAACTTTAGAGAGAGAAACTATATCAAATTTTAGATAGAGAAAGTACTTGAAATACTTAGAGAGAGAAACTATTTTAAAAACATAGATAGAGAAACTATCTCAAATTTTAAGATTTAAATAGAGAAACTACTTGAAACTTGTAAAGAGAAACTATCTCAAATTTTAAGTTTTAGAGAGAGAAAATATTTTAAAACTTTAGAGAGAGAAACTATATCAAGTTTTAGATAGAGAAAGTACCTAAAATTTTTAGAGAGAGAAACTATTTGAAAATTTTAGATGGAAAAATTATTTCAAATTTTTAGTTTTAGAGAGAGAAACTATATTAAAATTTTAGACAGAGAAACTACCTTAAAATTTTAGAGAGAAACTACCTGAAAATTTTAAAAAGAGAAACTATCTCAAAATTTGGTTTTAGAAAGAGCATCTTAAAATTTTAGAGAGAGTAATTATATCAAATTTTAGAGTGAGAATGTACCTAAAATTTCTTACATAGAGAAAGTATCTTAAATGTTTAGAAAGAAACTATCTCAATTTTAAGGTTTAGATAGAAAGTATCTTAAAATTTTAGAGAGAGAAACTATATCATATTTTAGAGAGAGAAAAACTACCTGAAATTGTTTAAAAAGAGAAACTATCTAAAATTGTTTAGCGAAAGAAACTATCTCAAAATTTTTATAGAGAGAAACCATCTCAAATTTAAGTTTTAGAGAAAAAAAGTATCTCAAAATTTTAGAGAGAGAAACTTTATCAAATTTTAGAAAGAGAAAGTATATAACTCTTTCACTCATCCATGTTTGATAGAGCGTGTGTGGTAAATGTTAAGCAATGCCGGCCTAGAGCAAAAATTATAGGGTAGAAGCCGTATCAATGACTTGTTATCTTATCAACCGATCACCTTCGGTAATATTGGGAAGAAAAATTCCTAATAAGGTATGGTATGGAACTCCAAGTGACTACTCCGATTTAAAGAATTTTGGTTATGATGCATATGCACTTATTCCAAGTTGCCAAAGGAACAAGTTGGATCCAAGGTCAAAGAAGTGCATCTTTGTGGGTTATATCAAGGATGTAAAGGGGTACCGGTTATGGGATCCAAGTACTCGAAAAATAATCAATAGTCATGATGTGCATTTTAATGAATCCAAAGTATTGGCAAAAGAGATATTGATGAAGGACAATGGTCAAAAAATGCAACAAGAGAGCTAAGAATTTGAAAGCAACCTTCAAATACTTCCACCAAGTGCAACCCACCGATCATAGTGAAGAGTATGAAGGACTACGTAGTCAAGATGAAGAACCACATGGCCATCATGATGAAGTTGTGTCTTTGATATATCGACGTTCTATTAGAGAAACTTGTGTACTCAGGTGGCATAAAGATTATATGGATCCAAATACTTTACATGCTTTGATAGCCGAAAATAAAGAGCCAACATCATTTCGTAAAATCATTGATAGCAATGGTACCGAGCATTGGAAAAGAACTATAGAATAAGAGATATTGGCCCTTCCAAAAAACATTTGGAATTTAGTGGAGTTACCAAAAAGTAGAAAGGTCATTGATTGTAAATGGGTGTTCAAGATAAAGAAGGGGTTCGACGGCAAGCTCTAAAAATATAGGGCAAGATTGGTGGCAAAAGGTTTTTCACAAAAACAAGGCATTGACTTTGATGAAATTTTTGCACCGGTTGTCAAGTTGGTCTCAATTCACTTGGTGCTTCGGTTAGTTGTTATGCATGATTTAGAGCTTGAGCAAATGGATGTGAAGGAAGATTTTTTGCATGGAGAACTTGAAGAGGAAGTATACATGCAACAACCAGAAGGCTTCATAGAGAAGGGCAAAGGACTTGTGTATAAATTGAAGAAGTCTTTATATGGGCTCAAGCAAGCATCAAGACAAGAGTATATAACGTTTGATAAGTTTATGACGAACCTTGGGTACACAAGAAGTAAGTATGACCTTTGCATCTATTTAAAGTTCTTTGATGATGAATGGTACATACTTGATTTTAGTTTTGGGTGTCGTTTCTATAAAGTTGCAACCTTAAACAATCCAATTAAGACGCACCTTAAAATTTTATCGTAACATGTAATTTTATTATAAAAAATTCTTAATATTATCTTAAAATTTATTTTCATAGTTAATTAAAAAATCTTAAATTTAAAAAATAGTTAAAATAAAATAGATCTATAAACATATGAAAATCTTTAAAATGGATGGTCTAGATAATGTGTTGCAAGATGCACTATTTCGGGACTCAAAAACTCTTTTCTTTCATATTCATATATCTCGATGCCGAGATGATCAAGTAGACGGTTTTTTCAACATTAAAACAACATTTTCGATAGATTTTTGAGGTGCATCTATGATTCTACATTTTAAGGTTGCAACCTTATATGAACTTTTCCCTTTAGTTTTATATGTGGATGACATGCTTTTGGTGTGCAAAGATAATGCAAAAATTGATAAACTCAAGACTTCTTTGAGCAAAAGATTTGAGATGAAGGATCTAAGGGCGGCAAGGCAAATCCTTGGGATTGAAATTGAAAGGAATAGATAAAATGAAACTTTTTCATTATCTCAAAAGGGTTACATA